TAAAAATTGTGTTAAATAATAATTGATTTTTCGAAATTTTGTTGAAAATCATATTCTAAATTAATTGAATTCATGGTAGAAATTTTATTATTTACGAAAAAATTGACTTTTGGATGAATTCAAAAAAATTTTTTTTAAATAATTGAATTCTTTTGCGAAATTTGATGAAAATTTTAGATATTGAAAATAATTGTATTTCGAATATTTTTTTGAAAATAAATGAATCGTTTTACAGAATTTTGATTATAATTTTTGCAAATACTTTTTTGAAGTTGTCACCAGTTTTCAATTTATTTATTTGAGTCTTCGTCAATTGAACAGTGGAAATTTCTTGTGTATTTTTACGAGACGATGTTAACAAAATTGCAGGAAATCGAAGTCAGATTGATTAAATAGTAATTTTTACAAAAAAATTTGGAACCATTATTCTCAGCTAACATATTTGGGCTTTTGCATGTATAAATCGCACCAATAAATAAAATCAAACGTTTACATCTTTTATGTTTCTTTTAAATTTATATACGTGTATTATAACACGTTACATGGAAACCCATATTGTTTTTATATCACACTTACATTACCACTTATATATAAAATTAGAAGTTGATACATTTATATATATATACGTCAAATATTTAACTTTAGGGTAAATAAAAAGTTAAATTTTTACCCAAAAAGCAACAGTGTAGTTTATTCAACCATATACACCGCAAAGAAAAGTTTTAAATTAAAGTTGACTTTGGTATTAAAATAGTATTAAATTACTATTTAGTACCAAAATTGGTACTAAATTAATACCTTTCTTTTTATACAGTGTTTGAATTAAGAATAAATTGTAACCAAAAGAAATATGTAAGAATATGGCTGAATCGTGCACGGAAAATACATGACAAATTACCTGCTTTAACAGGAAGTAAATATTAAAAGAAAAATTGTTCAAACAATTTTGTCACGTATCCACTGTTTTTATATAATTTCTTTGAATTAATATTAATTTAGTTCAACATTCAATTCAGTTCCTAACACTTGGCAGTTATTAGCATTGATAATTAATTATCTATAGACATCCTGAAAACATAATAAAGTTTCAATAAATTTTTTATTTCATTACGTTGAAGAATGAAATTGTTCATTAATAATTATCAATTTAACAAGTCGCATTTTAGTAATTTTAATTTTAGGTAAGATAAAATAATATAACCACGTGACGATAAAGTTTAAAAAAGTTTAATAATTTTCATGGAATAATTTTTTTAGAAATAGTAAAATTTATTATTATTATCATTTTCAATCGTTTCTATGTTTGTTTCTATGTACCAAACCTTCTTAAAATTTATAAACTCTGAAAAAATTAAGTTTTAATGAACTAAATTTTTTTAAATGTTTCCCAAGTAAAAATTTTGTTCCCAATTTTAAAATTTAATAAGAAAATTTCTAATAATATTTCTAAATTATTAATAGATTTTAGTTTTTGTAAATTTCTTTTAAAGAAAGTATACCATTACACACGTGTAGAGAGAATCTCTCACCACATTGTTAAATAAGCGGCATTACAACACAAACGAAGGAATCAACAAGAATTTAGTCTTAACACAAACTTAAAAATATTTGGTAAATTACTTCAAATAATAAAATTAACAAAATTAATTTTCTTTCTCACAAATAAAAAATAATTACACGAATGCACATCTTCGAAGGAATTCGACTTTACATGTAAAAATAATCTAACATTAACAAATACGTAAAAAAATCATTACATAATTCATTTTAATTACATTTATAATCTAATTTTGTCAATAACCAACAGTGGAACAAAAAAGGTTTGGACAACTCGATTTTATTATATGTATATAAAATTACCTCGCACTTTTTCAATTTTTTTTTGTTTGAAGCCTCATTATTAAAGATTAATTATGTTTAGACTAAATGTTTTTATAGAAATGTGTTAAGGAGTGAACTGTCGAAAAGTATGGAAACTGATTTTATTTTGCAATGAGAGAAACAAAAAATATTTTTTTTATCCCACAAGCACAAAAATGGTGCTTTTAGATAGCTGACGACAGGAGTAAAGTCACTCATTTGTACGACCGTATGAAAATGGCGACCACTTTTTCCTATGGGCAAAAAAACAGCTGGTCTCATGCGTTATTTTTGCCCATGGGAAAAAGAGGCCGCCATTTTCATACATGTCGAACAAGTGAATGACTTTTATTCCCTGTCGTCTGCTATCTGAAATCGACACTTTTGTGCATTATTATGAATAAAAAACATCGTAAGTAACATGGGAATAAAGGCAGCCAATTTGTTTACGATGATTTCTGTGACACAAGTGGATTTCTCAGGGAGCCCTCGACCTCTGCTCGTGTCACGATAATCACCGTAGGCAAATGGCTGCCTTTGAAAACGGGGAGGGAATTTCTTCCTAGGTGTGTGAACGAAGAGTTAATGTAAAATTGAAAAAAATAATTCACTTACCTAGTGAGTTAGATTTTTAAGAATTGTCAAAAGTTTCATTTCCACGCTATCAAAAGTATCAGCAAACCATTTTTCATTTGGTACTCCATTTTCGACCTGTAATTTAAGTGAAATGATAAATTAAGTTTTCTCTTTACTTTAAATAAAATCATTATTATATAATTGAAAAATATTGCTTGTGTAAACTAAAATTTTAGATTCTTCAAGAGTAAAAGTTAATAAAATAAATATTTACTTCATAGCCAAAGAATATTCAGTGCTCTCGGAAAAGACGATATTTAATTATTTTTTTGTTGGATCGAGAAGATTTCTTATATTCTTTATATTTTTTATTTTTTCTTAGATTTCCATGAGTTTTACATTTCTCCTTATTTTGATAATAACTTTAATTTTAAGGTTTTGTGATATTCAATTATTTTAAAAACATTCTTTTAAATCTATTTAACTATATCTTCAAAAACAAAATTGTTTTTATAAAATTGTGATAAAATTTTCCAAAATGTAAAATTTCACAAAATTTAGAATTGGTTTATAATTTTTCAATTAATTGTTTTTAGAAATTCAGCTATTTTTAAAAAATTTCAATTACGCTTTTCAAATTTTTGAATTTAATTATTCAAAATTTCAATACAATCACAATTTCTTTTTTAAGTATTAAAATCCTTTTTAAAATATATTCTTCCACAAGAGTTACATTTTTGTAAAGCTACAATTTCAAGCATTTCGAGTTATATAAAAAATTTTTTAATACAATTGTCGCATTTTTTTAAATATTAGAAAAAAATCGAGAAAATTATATTATCCTAGACTTTCATAAAAATCATATATTTGAAATATTAAAAAAATTACCAAATCCAAATCTGATCTTGAGTCCAGGCTACTTTTTCTTTTAGCGGTAGAGCGGGTCATTCTACTTGCATTGTTGGTGAGAATGTTACCATTGTATCGACTCTCAACAATTTTGTCACCAATTTATATATATTTCACATAACTGCATTCATTTTTAATTTCCTCAGCACAATTTCTTTCATTGCAATTTGTATATCTTCCCTTTCAGAATGATTAACGATTTTTGTAAACTGAAGACGAATGCATCATACTGTAATATTCCTCAGAGGTATCGTTTGTTGTACATACTGCTGAATAATTTAGCAAAAGAGTGTCTGCAAATCAATAAAAAAATGTTTTTAATAAATTACAAAAATTTAAAGTCTTAAATTATTACATAAAATTCTGGTCACGCATTGACTTTAATGGTAAAAAAAGACGTTTTAGTCGATTTAATATACAAAAACTCGAAAATGTAATTTATTTTACTCGCATTTGACACAAAAATTCTATTTTTTACCTAAATTTTTCCTGATATCTAGGCCGAATATTCGTTCTTTCTCTTATCCCAATAACTCTAATCTGAGTTTTTGTGTAATTACCAAAAAAACTTGAAATAGAATTTTTGAAACACCGGTTTATATATGAGGCATTCCATGTCAAGTGATCCAGGTGTCTTACGGTGTAATGCTTATTTCGATAATTTTTTACTCTTAAACTATTAAACATAAAAATTTGGCAAGGTACATTTTGGAAAGGTTTTTTCATGCTCTTTCGATTGAAAATAAGCATTTAAAAAAAAATTTTTTTTTGACCCAAAAAAATCAAAATTAAAAATAAATTTTAATTTTTTGGAAAAAAGGTCCCATTTTTTTTTTTTTTTTAAACGAAAGCTGAGGTTTTTTCCTAAAAGGACATATAAATGAAAAAGTGGGACAAGAATGTTTAAACATTGAAAAACAGAGGTTTCTACTCTCTAAACCCGGTTTTTAGCTCTGTTTACGAGAAAATTCATTTTTTCAATGTTTAAACATTCTTGTCCCACTTTTTCATTTATATGTCCTTTTAGGAAAAAACCTCAGCTTTCGTTTAAAAAAAAAAAAAAAAAAAATGGGACCTTTTTTCCAAAAATTAAAATTTATTTTTAATTTTGATTTTTTTGGGTCAAAAAAAAAATTTTTTTTTAAATGCTTATTTTCAATCGAAAGAGCATGAAAAAACCTTTCCAAAATGTACCTAGCCAAATTTTTATGTTTAATAATTTAAGAGTAAAAAATTATCGAAATAAGCATTGTACTGAAAAACCCAAAAATTTAACCCCCTCCCCCTCGGAAAATATTGGACTAGGTAAAAAAATATTTTCACGAAAAATTACTATCTATTAGTACTACAAAAGCCCCAAGTTTTGCTACGATTGGAGAAAAATTTTTCTCCACCTGGATCACTTGACATGGAATGCCTCATATCTATAATTATACATTCTTCTGACATTTAACTATTTATTTTCAAAAATAAAAACTAATCTAATCTTTAGTAACTATAAATTGTCAAAATTCGTAAAAACATGAAAAAAATCCAACTTAAAAATAAATTTTACAATTTTTATAAAACAATTACTTACCAAATATTCAATAAACATGTTAAACAACATTTCTTCTTCCATTTTTTACATTTATAGCCATGCTGGACTTCAATCAATGGATTCGGATAGTACTGTTCCATTTGACAATAGTTCTGATTCTGATTTGTCCGATAATTTATCGGACATTACTGATGAAGATATTGTTTCAAGTAACAATGAAAAAAACACATCAGCAGATGAATCTGATGTACCGTTGATACAAAGAAGGAAAAAATTTATTGAAGATTTGACTTGGACTGAATCAGGTACATTTTCTCCAGTTCAACATTCTTTTTGTGATTCAAAAGCAGGAGTTCAGTTGGTTATAAATGCAAATAAGAAAAGTTCACCTGCTGAAATTTTTAAGTTATATTTTTCTGAGGACATTATGGAAATGATTTGCTTTCAAACCAACAAATATCAACAGGAAACTTTAACAGCTCGAATGGCATCTGGAAATTTAAAGAAAAAATCTCGCATTTTAAAATGGGAATCATTGTCTCCAGATGAGTTATATGTATTTTTTTCTTTAAAAGTTTTAATGGGCATTATTAGAAAACCAGAAATTTCTATGTATTGGTCCTCTGATCCTTTCCTAGAGACACCATTTTTTAAAAATTACATGACTATCACTAGATTTTTAGAAATAAGTGCATTCCTTCATTTTTCTGATAATGAAATAGGTGGAGGAAAGTTAGACAAAATTGCTCCTGTATTCAATGCGTTAGTCGAGCGTTTTCAGGAAGTGTATAGGCCGGGTGAATTCATTTCTATAGACGAATCTTTAATTTTGTTTAAAGGAAGGCTTAGCTTCACACAATACAATCCGCATAAGAGAGCCCGATTTGGATTAAAAACGTACCAATGTTCTGAATCAAAAACAGGATACGTTTACAACTGCAAAATATATGCAGGAAAAGATGAAAATTCACCAATGAGTAAGTTGATAGGTATTTCAGGAGTGACCGTCAAGTTACTATTAGGTGACTTAGCTGGACAAGGTCGAACACTTTTTATCGATAACTGGTACAGTTCTCCAGTACTTTTCAAACAGTTATCAGATGAAAAAACTAATGTTTGCGGCACTGCACGACCAAATCGTTTGTACATGCCAAAAAATGTTGACACGAAAACAATGAAAACAGGTGACATGAAAGTTCTTCATACTCCCAAAATGAGTCTAACTGTATGGAAAAACAAAAAGATTGTTAGAGTACTTAGCACTGTTCTCCGACCTGAAATGGTAACAACTCGAAAACGAAAACGAAATAGAGATTCAATAAAGAAACCGAATGTCGTTCTTCTATATAACGAACATATGGGTGGTGTTGATCTTGGAGATCAATACATTAAACCCTATGACTCAGCGTGAAAGAGTGTTAAATGGTACTTAAAAATCTTTTACAGACTTCTTGACACTAGTATCCTTAACTCGTATGTTGTGTACAAATCTTTTCGTCCAGAAATGAAAATGTCTTTTTTAGACTTTCGAACTCTGTTAGTAAAACAACTAATTAGCTCTCATGGCACACTAATAAAAAAGCCACACGCAAGAAGAGTAGAACAAAGTCAAAACCTGTCTAGGCTTACAGCTAGACATTTCCCAATGATGATTTCGGAAATTTCAGAATTGAAATCCGAAAGACTGAATTGTTTCTTGTGCTACAAAAAAAACAAAATTACAAAGACAAAAACGTTATGTGTTGAATGTAGGAAAAAAGCGCTTTGTCTTCCATGTTTCAAAACCTATCATACTAAACTTGACTGCTAAAAAATGTTATAGTAAATTATGAGAAAGCATGAATATAAAAAAATTTTTATATAACTAACTTTAATAATTAAAAAAAGGATCAAAAAACTAAAAAAAAATTGAAAATTCAAAGGAAAATGAATACAAATTTGAAAAATTATAGAAAAAAACAAAAAAAACAAAAAAAATGGAATGTAAAACTTTGCAGCCTCCTCGTGGCTAAAAAAATTGAAAATTCAAAGGAAAATGAATACGAATTTAAAAAATTATAGAAAAAAAACAAAAAAAAACAAAAAAAAAACAAAAAAAACAAAAAAAATGGAATGTAAAACTTTGCAGCCTCCTCGTGGCACATTCCGGGGCCATGAAACAATTTATCAGCAAATGCAAAGGATCAGATAAAAATGTTTTGAATTCTTAGCTCAGTTTGAGTACATCACTCAAAATTAATTCACTCTAAACTAAAATTTATATACAATTATTATTAAAATCGAACAAAGCTGACTTTTATGGAAATCTGCCTAATATTTAAAAGTTTTATCTGCGATTTTGAATCTGCTTCTTTAAATTTTAGAATCATTGTATCATATTTGAATTTAGTGACCCCAAAAACTCCCAGATACCAAGTTTTACAAAAATTCAATAAATTTTTTCAATTTTTATCCTCCATATTAAGTCCGACATTTTGAATTTTTGAAATCTGACTTCAGATTCGTAATCAGAGACCCCAAAAACCCCCAAGTAAAAAGTTTCGAGTGAATCCGATCATTTTTCAAAAATTAGTTCTAGAATTAAACTTTTTCAAGTAGATGTGGCTTTTATAGAGAGAAAAATTCTCTCAAGTAAAGAATGTCTTTTTCTTTTAAAAACGTGTTAACTCTTAAATACATTCGAAACATTACAAACATAAAATTAATCTTTTTTACATGTTATCACATTTTTAATATTACTTTGTAAATTCAGAAAATATGTAGGATAGAATAAAAAAAATTATCTTTAAAATGCTATTTTCAATCAAATAAACGCTTTTTTAACATTAAGAAGAATGAAATAGACTATCAGAATTGGAAAAAAAGTTTTTGCAAAATTTTTTAAATATTGACAAATTTAAATGAATTCAATTTTATATTTTGAAGAATTTTGTTACAATTTTTTAAAAATAATCGTATTTTTTAAAAAAAGGAGAAAAATTTAAGAAAATTATAAGAATAATCGTAAAAGATAAAATTACTTCTGCAAATATTACATAAATAATAATAATACTACATAAATTTTTATTACATAAATCTGTATTATAGAAATCTAATTTTTCCGTACTTTCAATCAACTAAAATGACTTTTTTGGGTCCTAAAGTCAATTTGCAGTATATCAGCTGTCTAACAATATTAAATTTATTTAATTCTTAAAATTGTGCAATCACAAAGCTTCTTTATTTTATACAAAATTACATAAAATGATCATCATCTGAAATTCGTTTTTGTTAGTGTCCCGTACCCCCTTTCTTTTAATTGTCGTTAAACAGTCTCCCTCCATTCCTATCAACTTTTACTTTTTTCATTTTCGTTAAAATTATTGTCGTCTGTCGCGTCATTGTATTCACACAGAGTTTCAGGGGCCTTACAAGTTCTCTTGCAAACTTGTTTCGCAGGTAGCCTTTCAACATTATCCCCCGAGACCAAACAATTGGTAGACCGGGTTCCTTATCACAGAGTACTACGGATTCTCCCAAAGAATTCACCCGAGACCAAACAATTGGTAGACCGGGTACTTTATCACACTGTACTACGGATTCTCCGAAGGAATCCCCGCGTGACCAAACAATTGGTGCACCTGGTACTTTAACTTTATCCAAATCACACTGGAATTCACTCCCATCGACACCAGACGCTCGTTCATTAGAGTGGGGCGAGTTCCGCGAATCAATCTTCTTGCAGCTAGTAGTCGAAAATTCCTCTAGGCCTTTGAGTGAACCGTCCACTGCTGTTATCAGACAAAATGATTCACGCTCCTTTAAAACATATGCATCTGTTCCTTCTATCACTCTACAATCCTGACGAGTCCCGTGCCGGTCGAGTTTAAATTTTGCTACCTGTTGCCCCTCTTTTCTCGTGAAGTGCTTAGCTCAGTTTGAGTACATCACTCAAAATTAATTCACTCTAAACTAAAATTTATATACAATTATTATTAAAATCGAACAAAGCTGACTTTTATGGAAATCTGCCTAATATTTAAAAGTTTTATCTGCGATTTTGAATCTGCTTCTTTAAATTTTAGAATCATTGTATCATATTTGAATTTAGTGACCCCAAAAACTCCCAGATACCAAGTTTTACAAAAATTCAATAAATTTTTTCAATTTTTATCCTCCATATTAAGTCCGACATTTTGAATTTTTGAAATCTGACTTCAGATTCGTAATCAGAGACCCCAAAAACCCCCAAGTAAAAAGTTTCGAGTGAATCCGATCATTTTTCAAAAATTAGTTCTAGAATTAAACTTTTTCAAGTAGATGTGGCTTTTATAGAGAGAAAAATTCTCTCAAGTAAAGAATGTCTTTTTCTTTTAAAAACGTGTTAACTCTTAAATACATTCGAAACATTACAAACATAAAATTAATCTTTTTTTACATGTTATCACATTTTTAATATTACTTTGTAAATTCAGAAAATATGTAGGATAGAATAAAAAAAATTATCTTTAAAATGCTATTTTCAATCAAATAAACGCTTTTTTAACATTAAGAAGAATGAAATAGACTATCAGAATTGGAAAAAAAGTTTTTGCAAAATTTTTTAAATATTGACAAATTTAAATGAATTCAATTTTATATTTTGAAGAATTTTGTTACAATTTTTTAAAAATAATCGTATTTTTTAAAAAAAGGAGAAAAATTTAAGAAAATTATAAGAATAATCGTAAAAGATAAAATTACTTCTGCAAATATTACATAAATAATAATAATACTACATAAATTTTTATTACATAAATCTGTATTATAGAAATCTAATTTTTCCGTACTTTCAATCAACTAAAATGACTTTTTTGGGTCCTAAAGTCAATTTGCAGTATATCAGCTGTCTAACAATATTAAATTTATTTAATTCTTAAAATTGTGCAATCACAAAGCTTCTTTATTTTATACAAAATTACATAAAATGATCATCATCTGAAATTCGTTTTTGTTAGTGTCCCGTACCCCCTTTCTTTTAATTGTCGTTAAACAGTCTCCCTCCATTCCTATCAACTTTTACTTTTTTCATTTTCGTTAAAATTATTGTCGTCTGTCGCGTCATTGTATTCACACAGAGTTTCAGGGGCCTTACAAGTTCTCTTGCAAACTTGTTTCGCAGGTAGCCTTTCAACATTATCCCCCGAGACCAAACAATTGGTAGACCGGGTTCCTTATCACAGAGTACTACGGATTCTCCCAAAGAATTCACCCGAGACCAAACAATTGGTAGACCGGGTACTTTATCACACTGTACTACGGATTCTCCGAAGGAATCCCCGCGTGACCAAACAATTGGTGCACCTGGTACTTTAACTTTATCCAAATCACACTGGAATTCACTCCCATCGACACCAGACGCTCGTTCATTAGAGTGGGGCGAGTTCCGCGAATCAATCTTCTTGCAGCTAGTAGTCGAAAATTCCTCTAGGCCTTTGAGTGAACCGTCCACTGCTGTTATCAGACAAAATGATTCACGCTCCTTTAAAACATATGCATCTGTTCCTTCTATCACTCTACAATCCTGACGAGTCCCGTGCCGGTCGAGTTTAAATTTTGCTACCTGTTGCCCCTCTTTTCTCGTGAAGTGCTGTATTGATAGTCTAAGTTACCTTAGTCATGTTTTTCGTCAGTCTTAGAAATTATGGGAATATAAGGGACAATTGTAAACAATATGGTCGGGACTTTTGCAAATAAAGCAATCGCGTTTTCCTCGTGGTGTTTTATTGCAATCGCGAGCAAGATGGCTAGTCTTGTTGCAGTTAAAACATGATTTATTGTCGTTTACTGTGCGTAAACACCCTCGCGCTAGATGACCCGATTCACCTCATCTATAACAATTGTTGTTTGACGTTGCCGATTTGTCTCTGTTTGTCGAGTTTGGGGTTCGACCACGATTTTCCTCCCCTCTGCCTCGATGAACTCCGCGATGACCTTCGAGTTTTCTAATTTGACCGTTTCTATCATAAGGATGATGTCGATTTTGATTATTTCCGTTCATCTTATTTCTCCCTTCTTCCGATTTTTCTTTAGCTTCGCCTTTGCTTTCGGGTGCCCGCCTGTCTAATTTTTGTTCGTGTTCGACTTCCCATTCGGCCTGTTTCGCGAGGTTCACGGCATCGTCCAATGATCCAGGTCTTCCCACCCTTACTCGCCACACGAGGTCTCGTTTCAGCCCCATAATAAAATTTTCGCGGGCCGTGGTACGGGCCGACTGCACCATGTAGTGAGCGGCTTCACTCGTGTTTTGATCCTCTATTAATTCAACTAAACTAGCCAATATTCTTCTCACGCGAGACCCGTATGATACTACGCTTTCCTCCTCAAGCTGAGCGACCGTAGCTAGAGCGGAATGCAGTTGACTGGAATTCCGGTGTTCCGTAAAAGTGTTCTTTAAATGCAGCAATAATTCTTCTAAGGAATTAATATCCCGGTCTTGGAGAGAATCGAACGCATTCCCCACAACCCGAGAGAGGATCATCAAAAATAAGTGGTTTCTATCCTTCGAAGCTATTAAATTGCGTGCAGAAATGCAACCCTTTATAGATTGACTGACTGGCATCGATTGCCCATCAAAACTACTTGGAAGAAATCCCAAAGCTTCTTTAAGAGAAATTGGATTATCGGGTTCCTATAGGGACAGCGTTAACAATCCCGATTTCGTCGCACTTGCGCCTGAAATACTGCTACCGACATGCAACAGTGTATGACTAACACGCGGTAAAATAGGGGTTCGCTGCTGAATTACAAGATTATTCGCGTGATAATTTGAATTTTCACTATATTCAAAAT